GAGAGGCGACCACACATTGGTATTTCTCTCCATGTGTTTCTCCCTTCGTTACCCTCTCTAATACAAGTAAATAAAATCTTTACAGAAAAAGAAAAGAAATCAATGGTGAGACCTTTCACCTGACACTACAAAGCACAAAGCAACATAAGAGATATTTGCAGGTGACATGACTTAACATACAGAACATTGTCAACATTCCACTATAAACATCTGAAATTATAAACAGATTCAATAAAAATATAGGATACAGAACAAATATTCCAACATCAGTTCCATGTTTATAGTGTAATAATAAAAGCTTTGCAGAGAAATTAAGAAAGTAGTCAAATTCACAACAGCATCAGAACCAATAAAAGACTCACGAAAAAATTCTACAAAGGAGGTAAAGGGCCTGTACATTGCACCCTCTGAAACAGTGATGAGCCCTGGCTGATGTAGCTCAGAGGACTGAGTGCCAGCCTGAGAACCAAAGGGTCAACGGTTTGATTCCCAGGCAGGGCACATTCCTTGGTTGCTGGCGGGGTCCCTGGTGTGAGGTGCAGGAGAGGAAAAACACACTGATGTTTTGCTCCTTTTCTTTTTCCCTAGCTTCCCCTCTTTCTAAAAATAAATAAATGACATAAAAAAAAAAAGACAGTGATGAAATAAGTTAAAGGAAACACAAATATATAGAAAGACATCTTGTGTTCATGGATTTTAAAACTTAATATTGTAAAATACTGACAGTACCCAAAGCAATCTACAGATTAAATGCAATCCCCATCACAATTCCAACAGCATTTCACCTGAAAAAAAATTTTTAAAACAATTGTGAAATGTAGGAAACCTGAAAAGACCTCGAAGAACAAAAGCAATCTGGACACCACTGATAAAAATTAGCTCAAAATAGTACAAAATTAAATGTCAGTCCTGAAATCCTAAAATTCCTTCAAGACAACATAGAGAAAAAAGCTTTGGAGATTTGTACTGGAAACAATTTCCCTGATGTGATACCAACTACCAGGCAAAAAGCAAAAATAAACAATCCTAACTACAAAAACACAAACAACTTTCTGCACAGCAGAACAATTAATGAAATGAAAAAGACAGCTACGGGATGGAAACAAATACTTAGAAACCATGTAGAAGTATCCCTCTGAGATACTGTTGGCTCAGTTCAGAGCACCACCATAAAGCAAGTATTTCCACATAGGAAAAAGTCACAGCAATTTTTGTATTTCCCAGTGAATACAGAAGTTTTGTTTACGCTACAGTGCAGTCTATTAACACAATAGCTTCGTCTAAAAAAAAAAACCTACGTAACTTAGTTAAAAATAGGTCGTTGCTCAAAATTGCTAACCAGTATCTCAGCCTGCTATTAAAATGGCAGCAGTACATTTGCTCACTGAAGTGTTTCCTAAAATACTGAATTTGTAGAAAACACAATATCTGCAAAGTACAATAAAGGAAAATGCAAAAAGACATGCACCTGAATCGGATGAGAAATTCATCAAATATACAAGATATTTAAAAGACTCATTAGCCCATCCTGGACCATACACAGCTCAGTTGATTAGGGCAAACGTTCTGATACTCAAAGGTTCAGAGGCCCATGCTCAGAACACATAAGAATCAATCATAAATAAGTAGAACAAATCAATCTTTCTCTGTCTCTTCAAGAAGCGATAAATACAAATTAAAACAAAAAATCTAATCATTAGCTTGAAAACACAGTGAAAAGCATGACTAAAAGTGTAGAGACATTCTTGCAAAAAGTATGTGCAAGAGGGGCGGAGTCAGCAGTGGAGCAGGGTCAGGCAGGAAAGATTGGTAAACTGACCCAGGAGCACAAGCAGCTGTTGGCGGATACCAGGTGGTTGGCGGACCCAGGAGTGGGTGGCAACAGGCAGACCCTGTGAAGACGCAGGGCGACTGGCTGACCGCCGTCATGCATTTGAGCGCAGATAAACCAAGCAAAGGAACAAACAGTGAGACAGACTGTTCAGGCTAGGGCCCCAGCGATGGGAACTGGAGCCTAAAAGCACCAATTGAAAACACTTTTGGGGTTGAGGTGCCGGGAGAGTTTATTGGAGAGACCCACAGGGTTCTGGAGGGTACACAAGCCCACGCACCCAGGAACCAGCACCAAAAGGGCCCAATTTGCTTGTGGGAAGCGGCAGAGGAAACAGAAATCTGAGAGAGAGCAGAACAAATGCCATTGCCCCTCTCTGACCCCCCCCCCACATACAGCATCACAACCCATTGACTGGGTCACCCCACCCTGATGAACACCTAAGGCTCCGCCTCTCATACATAACAGGTGCGAACAGACCAGAACATTGTGGATCAAGAACAGCTCAAAGCCCCAGAATCAATAATTCTAAGCAACCAAGAGATAGCCAAACTTTCAGAAGCACAGTTCAAAACAATGGCAATCAGGATGCTCACAGAACTGGTTGATTTTAGTCACAAATTAGAGGAACATATGAAGGCTAAACTAATTGAAATGAAGGGAAATGCACAGGGAACCAGTAGTGATGGAAAGGAAACTGGGACTCAAATCAAGGGAGTGGACCAGAAGGAAGGAAAAAGTGACTAAACAAAATAGAATGAAGAAACAAGAATTCAAAAAAATGAGGAGAGGCTTAGGAACCTCCAGGACATCTTTAAACGCTCCAACATCTGAATTATAGGGGTACCAGAAGGGGAAGAGGAACACCCACAAGTGGAACATTTATTTGAACAAATAATAAAGAATTTCCCCAATCTGGCAAAGGCAATAGACTTCCAGGAAATCCAGGAAGCTCAGAGAGTCCCAAACAAGTTGGACCCAAGAAGGAACACACCAAGACACATCATCATTACATTAGCCAAGATTAAAATGAAGGAGAGAAGTCTAGAAGCAGCAAGAGATAAGGGGACAGTCACCTACAAAGGAGTTCCCATCAGACTGTCAGCTGGTTTCTCCAAAGACACCTTACAGGCAAGAAGGCACTGGAAAGAAGTATTCCAAGTCATGAAATCCAAGACCTACATCCAAGATTGCTCTATCCAGCAAAGCTTTTATTTAGAATGGAAGGGCAGATAAAGTGCTTCTCAGATAAGGTCAAGTTCAAGGAGTTCATCATCACCAAGCCCCTATTATATGAAATGTTAAAGGGACTTATCTAAAAAAAAGAAGATAAAAAATATGAACAGTGGAAGGACAACAAACTCACAGGTATTAACAACCACACCTAAAACAAAAACAAACTAAGCAAACCACAGGATCGCGGTTCGATTCCCAGTCAGGGCACATGCCTGGGTTGCAGGCCAGTTCCCTGCAGGCCAGTTCCCAGCAGAGGACGCGCAAAAGGCAACCATACATTGATGTTTCTCTCCCTCTCTCCTTCCCCCCCTTCCCCTCTAAAGATAAATAAATAATAAAATATTAAAAAAAAAACAAACTAAGCAGACAGCTAGATCAAGAGCAGAACCATAGAAATGGAGATCACATGGAAGGTTGGCAACAAGGGAGTGGGAGGAGAAGAAGAGGGGAGAAGGTACAGAGAATAAGTAGCATATACTTATTCTCTGTAGAAAAGTATAAAAATAGGGGGGAAAATAGGGAGTAGACAATAGGGGGAGGGAAAGAATAGTATGGGAAATATAGAATCTAAAGAACTTATGACACATGGATATAAATGAAAGAGGGGGAATGGTGGGGGAGGGGTGTGCAGGGTGGAGGGGAATGAAGGAGGGAATAGGACAACTATAATGGCATATAATCAATACAATATATATATTTTAAAAGTATGTACAAATGACCAACAGGAATACAAAAAAATGCATTTCCTCATTAATCAAGATGGAATCTGTTTCCCTGAAAGACCACCAATCACAAATACTTTTCTATGAGTGTTCAGTACAGGGGGTATTGGGGCTGCAGGGAGAAGCGGGTTCAGAGCCTTCCTGCCTGGTTTCAGGGACTGTAGCCTCATTAAGGGACAAAAGTGTCCTAAAGCTAGGGCTGAGTGACAAGGCCTTGGAGCCATGAGCAACTAAGGAGACAGAACCTATTCCCTGCCAGGAGCACAGTCCCTGCCTCCCTCACTTAACCCTGCTCGCCTGGAAAGATGGCTGGTAGGTCAATGACAGGTCAGATCCTTCAAGGGAGGGACAACCTAAGCCAGGAGCCATCAGGGAAGGACTTAGAGGACTCTAGAGAGGGGACAGAAAGACCCTCACCCATCAGCTATGTCATAGCCTGAGTCCTCATTCTATTTGTAAGAAGTCTCCTCTCTCTTGGCTGCTTTGCTCCTGCCTGACTTCCATGAAAACAATGGCAGAGGCAGCTTTGGCCTTCGGATGGAACAGAGGGCTCCCGAGGGGTAATCAAGCCTGACAAAGAATGTACATTGTTTCCTTTCAGGCTTGCTCTGCCCTTTTGGTCAGAGCAAAGTTCAAGGAGTGAGAATTACTTTATCTGCCCTTTTTGAATCAGACTTGAGCTGCAAGGGTAGAGAGTGAAACGCCCTACCTCATGAAACAGGCCTCAACAACCTGATGGGGTCAGCATATCTCACAGACAGTGACGAGAGACAATCCCTGTGTTTCTTAAATTATTATCTGTAGATGATGTCAGTTTTTCTTGACTGTAGCTTTTTCAACATTGACTGATGAGCTTTACTATGATGAGCATATACTATGTATCTCTGTGTGAGCTAAACTCAATAAAACCCCATTGAGAGAGAGGCTCCGGGCCTTTCCCCTCTGACACTCATCAGCCTTTTCTCCACAAGCAGACCTTGTTTTGCAAGCTTCACTTCATCCTAGTGGCCCCGGAGGCCTCCTGGGGACCGACACTCCCACAGTACAGGGCAAGGCAAAATAAACCAGCCTGACAAGTCCAGGATATGCCTGGAAGAGTGGAGAAACAAGCAGCACATGTGGACTGAGCGCACCCTAGGGAACAGAGGGCACGGGGAACATGCAAACCCTGCTCATGGTCACCGGTCACTGGGAGAGAGTGAGGGTCTTACCCAGCGAGGATATAAGAGCAAAATTCTCCAGCATCACATGGAGGTACAGGCGCCTCTCAGCCGCATTAAGGAGGCTCCATTCTGTCCTGGAGAAATACACGGCAACATCCTCAAAGGTCATCCTAACCTGTCAGAATGGACACAAATGAATCCAGGACAGTCTATACAAAACTCCCCCACATTCGACCTGCCCCCACTTCAGCGTGGATGACCCCTCTAAGTCCCGGTAAGGACGCGCCTCGGACTCAGACTGCTGAATGCAGACACAGCAAGGACCCCAGGTTCCCGGGTCCTCCTGGCCCAGGTACCTCTGCACCTGTTCACAGGGCCCCCCTGGCCACCCTTCCATAACCCGCCAGACTCTCGCTGGGTCCGATGCCCCGCACCCGGGCCCCATTGCTCAGTGGTGTGAGGGAGGGGCCCGGGGACGCCACTCACCTCAGCCAGGTGCCTCCACATGGCCTCCGCCATCAGACTCTGTGGGCAGTGAGGGGCCCCAGTGGCACGCAAGGCGGGTGTCCCTGCTAGAGCGAGCTCCTGTCTCCGCCCTGGCGCCTCACTCTCCAGCAGCATCACCGGGCATCATACATGCTGCGGTGACCGTTACTTTCCCACCTTCTCCACTGGATTTTTGAGATCCAAGATCCTGACTTAGTTCTAACACACACCTGGGAGAAGAGGAAATGCCCGCCACTGAGGACCTGAGTCCCCTCCTATCCAAACGGAAATGCCTTTCCTGAGTGTTCATTGGCTCATGGTCCCGGTATGCCTCGTCTGCCTTCTGGGTAGTGTAGTTCTTGCACTCCAAGACTGGGGTGCTGTATTTCCTCCTGTCTCCAGGAGTGGAGTTACAGATCCCAAGAATATTCTCTGAATACTAAATGCGCTCTGTCGCCCCCCAGCGGGCATCACTTCTTGGGCGAGGTATTCTCTGGTGTGCCTGCAAATCCTCCCCCTTTTTTTTCTTAAGCTGTTAGTTTTCCATATATTTCTTAAGGATAAGCAGCACTTTCTGACCTTCTCTTCCTTTTTAAAAAAATTTTTAAAGATTTTATTTATCTTGAGAGGGGAAGGGAAGGAGAGAAGGAGAGAAATATCAATGTGTGGTTGCCTCTCATGCATCCCCTGCTGGGAACTGGCCTGCAACACAGGCATGTACCCTGACTGGGAATCAATCCGCCATCCTTTGGTTCACAAACCCGCGCTTAATCCACTGAGCTACACCAGCCAGGGCTGACCTTCTCTTCTTGATTCAGGCTATTAGGCACGTGGCTCCTTCAAGCAGAATGTGGTGGCAGGAGGGTTACACCCGTCACTAATGCTACCTATCCTGCCTCTGGTGGAGCCATTATGTAAAGTTAATGTAAAAAACACTCGCTAATACTGAAGCACACCTGTGTCTGATGCAGTGACAAGTTAGATCTGCCTGAGTAGCTGTGTGACTGGAGTCCACACTGATTTGATTGGGTACCTCTGACTTAAATATACACTTTTTGCAAACAAAGGAGTACATGTTGAAGACATCAGACGTTCAATGACAGGAATTCTACCCAGAAATTGCATGAAAAGTTCCAGACCAAAAACTCAATATGCCAGTAAAGCTATTCGCACTCATTTGTTGGCTCCTTAATGCATAATATAGTCTATTAAGCGTGCAATAGCACTATGTAAACAAAGATATATAGCTTAATTTAATCATAATTGATTGTGCTGGCTGTTGTTGTTGTGGACTGCGCTGCCTGGTTTTAGGAATTTGTAACTCTGCCCCCTGTGGCTAAGGATGAGAGAGCCACCTCTGGAATGAGAGCCACAGGAGACAAAGCTTGTCTCTGGTGGCAAACGCTGCCTCAGTTTCCTCCCTGCACCCAAAGCTTGGTCAGAAGTCCTTGACCAGTAAGACCCCTCAGAGGAGGGGCAACCTAGGCCAGACACCATCACTCGGGAGGCCTTCATGGAAGGACTGGGGGGGGCTGCAACAAAGAGCAATGGACTCTTGCCCCTCGGCTCTGACATAGCCCGAGTCCCCATGTCCTCTGGGAGAAGCACTTCCTGACTCTAATCCCCTTAAGCCTGAATACCTGATGGGAAGAGGTGCAGCTCCTTGCCTTGCTAGAGCTTATCCTTGGGAAAAATCTGGCATCACAAAGGCTTCCTGAAAAACCTGTGAAATCTGCTCTGCTAAAAGTGCTTTCATTCATATGTTAATGGTCAAGCAGGAAACCCTAAAACTCTGTTCCTGACAGACTCTGACTCATAGCAAGCCCTCAGTTTTCTTTGAAATGTTATCTGCTATTTGATCCTTGCCGCCCTGTATTCCTGTGTATTACAACCCAATAAAAGCCTTTAGAGTAAAGGGCTCAAGGCCTTTTTCCTGTGAGAAACTGGCCACTGCTCAAGGCCTTTTTCTTCTGGGAAACTGGCCCCCTCTCCTCCCCAAGCAGATCATGTCTCAGTCATGTTTACTCTTATCCATGGCACACGGGGGGGACTTGCAAGGAAAATGGCCCCCACATGTTGTGGCTCAGTAGATTGATCACCAGCTTGCAAACCATACAACTGCTGGTTTGATTCCCAGTCAGGGCACATGCCTGTGTTGTGAGCTAGATTTCCTGGTACATGGCACTGAGTCACCCAAGAGGCAACCACACATTGATGTTTGTTTCCCTATCTTTCTCCATCCCTTCCCTTCTCTCTAAAAATAAATAAATAAAATCTTTAAAAATTATGTGATTGATTACAAAGACAAACTGTTATCTAGGCCTTCAAGTAGTTGCATGCAATCTTTTTGCAGATGAAGGATCTTGCCTTTCTGTTGATGCCCATACATTATTACTGAAGCTCAAGAAATCATATCATATTGAAGAGGATATGCCCACATGGACAGCCTGGGAAATTTTACCAGACAAGTAACATAGTTGCCCCATCATGTATACACCACATAGTGCACAAGAAGATAGGACATACTTTTGAAACAAAAAAAGATGCATAACATAAACACAAATGGAAACTATTTGTAATTTAAATACCAATTAAGAAAAATTAATTTTTGAAAAACTGGGGAGTTTTTGAGAAACTGCCATCAACACAAATTAGCCACACTCATGAACTGTACCTGCTGCCTTATTCCCGAGACATTATCATTCAGAGAGTTGAGCCCAAGCTCATGTTTCACCAGAGGCACAGATCTGATGAGGAACTCCTCACAGTGAGTGGGAGGGCCAACGATCCTCTCTTGGTGAAGGTAATTCAATCAATTTACACAAAACAACCTGGCCATGGAGTCAACCTACTGACTACCCATAGCTACCCTTAGACTAAGGTGAGCCTCTGGAGGAGGTGAGATAATTAGTAAACAGTTGTCTGAGGAAAGAAATACGATGTCATGGCTTTCCTTTACTTCTTCTAAATTTCTCAGCTCACTACTTTCTGTATCTGTCTGACCTCTCTATTTCTCCTCAAGTTCTCAGGAATGAATACAACCAACACTTGGAAGAAGAAAGAATTTCAGGGTAGCCACGTGTCCAGCAGAGCCGGAGCTCAAGTTAATTCTCCCATCTCTTAGGGCTCAGTGACAAAGGACACTATTCCATGTGTGGAGACTGACCTGTTCTCAGTACCAACAGGACCTTTTTTCTTCTAAATATTAAACTAATGACCAGTTACAACTCCATTAATCAATATTCGTACCTTTCTGTATTTTGCTCACTCTGTAACTTTTTGCAGAAATAATCTGCAGTCCCCAGGCAGAAACTGTCACTGCATTTACTGGTAAAATGATCATCGTTTCCTTGCAAGGAAGAAAAATCCCCAAATCCAAAACTTTCATCTCACGTTCAAATGCCTACTTTTAAAACCTTCATGAATCCCAACATTGCAGCCATCCTGGCAGCAAACTTACATTTGATACATAACCATGATCTCCAGGTACATGTCATATTCATAAAAGTTCATCATACACAGTATCCCAGAAAACTCAGTAAGATATTTCATGTGCTCAAACAATTGTTTTGGTAGTTACAAAACCCACACTGACAGAGAGGCAGAGGGCTATATTCTGAGGGACTATGAGCCATGGTGACACCTCATCCACTTGCTTTAGGTCTGCCTAGGACCTCCTCCCTGGCCAGGTTCCCCCTACAAAATGGAGTATTCTTGCTCAAATAACTGAGAGAATGCACTGAACCTTTGGTGTTCGATCTAAATATTTTGCAAAAGAAAAGCAGTTAGTTACCTACAGGGGAGTTCCCCTAAGACTTTCAGCTGATTTCTGAAGAAAAACTTTGCAGATTAGAAGGGACTGGCAAGAAATATTCATATTCATGGAAAGCAGGGACCTACAGCTAAAATTACTCTACTGAGTAAAGCTAACACTTAGAATCGAAGGGTAGATGAAGATCTTCCCAGACAAAAAAGAAAACTAAAAAAGTTGATCATTATCAAGTCATTATTATGTGAAATGTTAAAAGGCTATCACTCATGTGATCATAATATTGATGTCAATTAATGTCTTGATTTGATTGCTTTCAACTTCAACTAGTCTACCCAACTGTGGAGCATCATCTAGCAAGAAATCTCTAGCAGGAAACTTCACAAACCACTTGTGACATGTTTTGATCAGTCACAGCACCTTCTCCATATACTCTACAATTTGTTTGGTTTCAGTCGTATTTTTACCTTTCATGAAATAATAAAGCATAATATGCCAAAAATGTTGCCTATCTTCTTCCCCCTTCAATACTAAAATGGCTACGCAAAAAAATTCACCAATTTACACGTTTTTTTTCCTTAAAATTTTATTTATTTATTTTTAGAGGAGAAGGAAAGGAGAGAGGGAGAGAAATATCAACGTATGGTTGCCTCTCATGTGTCCCCTGATGGGAAACGGCCTGCAACCCAGGAATGTGCCCCAACTGGGAACTGAACCGCAATCCTCTGATTCACAGTCCTGCACTCAATCCACTGAGCTACACCAGCCAGGGCTACAAGTTTTTAAAAAATGCATGCTGATATGACAGCTGTCACAATACAATCTAACAAAATTATTTTGAGTAAAGTTAAAGACAAGCACTACTAGGGTCATCTTATGGGAAAAAAATGAACTTTCTGGCCCCAATATTACTTTGTTGGAGAACATACCCCAGTGATTTGATATTATATAACTTACTATGTGATCATTCTGATAAATCTTGTAGCCATCTGACAAAATCCATAGTTCAAGTTAACCTCTCAGCCCAGGCCAGATAGCTGAGTAGGTTAGAGCACCATCCCATAATATGGCAAGGTTGCGCGTTCAATCTCTGATCAGTGCACCTGCAAGAATCAACCAAAGACTTCATAAATTAGTGCAACAGCAAATTGCTGTTTCTCTCTCTCTCACCCTATGCCTTCTTCTCTCTTTCTAAAATCAAAAAATAATATTCAGTCCTGGCTGCTGTGGCATCAGTGGATTGAGTTCATGCCTGTGAATTGAGTGGTTGTCAGTTCGATTCCCAGTCAGAGCACATGCGTGTGTTCCCTGGTGCATATTGTAGTCTATGAAATATGGAACATTACTAGCATAAAATGAAAATATACATACTACAGTGTAAAAATACTTTATCAATTACAAAAGGCAAACCATTGCCTGAGCCTTCATTAAGTTGCATGCAATCTTTGTGCAGGTAGAGGGGCTTGCGTTCCTATTGAAGAGAACACATTATCTCTCAAGCTCAATAAAGGACAACTCAATAAAGCGGGGTGTGCACACATGGGAAAGTCTGAGAAATTTTACTACATTAGTAACACATTTATGCAATCATACATATGACAAGTATGGCATAAAAATATAGGACGCAGTTTTGAAAATTAAAAAAATGCATAATAGAAGCATAAATGGGTGTCTATTTACTTCTAATCTAAGTGTCAATAAAGAAAGTTGTTGCAAAAACTGGCAAAAATAAATTGTGAGTAATTATTGAAATTTTTGTTAATGTGAAAGTGGTGTTGTAATTTATCATTACAAAGGAGGACTTGTGAGTTATAGACATAATTAATAATTCATTGATGATACGGTACATATGGCATTATCAGTGCAATAGGTTTAGAAACATATTCAAGAATTATATTTTGTGAGACACCAAGACACACTTGAAAAACCCGTCAATGAAAGGTTCTAAAATACACAATACAGGAGCAAGGTCCAGATGGCCTTGGCCAGGGCAGGGGTCCTGGGAGCCCAATGGCTGCAAAGAGCAGTCCCAAGTGTGGTGCTGCTGGGTGCACAGACAGCCTCCCACATCACCAAAGACATGTTTTCAGGGCCTTATCCCAAACCCCCAGAACGGAGGGCTGCTGCCGCCAAGCAGTATAACATGCGAGTGGAAGACTATGAGCCATACCCAGATGATGGCATGGGCTATGGCGACTCCCCAAGGCTCCCTGACCGCTCACAGCATAAGAAGGATCCATGGTATGAACTGGACCACCCAGACATGAGATTGAACTGGGGCGAACCGGTCCACTGGGATCTAGATATGTATATCAGGAACCATGTGGACATGTCCCCCATGCCTGTTTCTTGAGATGTCATGTGTAAGCACCTCTTTGGCTTCATGGCCTTCATGCCGTTCATGTTTGGGGTAGGGGAGACTTATCCCTCCTACAAGACTGTGGTACCAAAGCAGTATCCTTATAATAATCTGTACCTGGAAGGAGGCAGGTAAAGAGCCTGAGCTGGTGGTTTGCTATGAAATCTGAGGAGGCTTCCTGGACTTTGTGCCTCCTGACTGACTTCCTCATTCCTAGAGATTTCATCTTAATAAATCCCTAATAAAATCCCTAATAAAACAGTGCTGTGGTAAGAAGGAGAAGGAGGAGAAGGAGAAAAGGGGAGGAGAAAGAAGGGAGGGTAGGAGTGGTTCTAAAATACAAATAGTGATACAATCAAGCAAGTAAAGAAACTTGAATCTAAAGGATGGGGATGATGTTAGAATTCAATAGGAAGAGTTTGAAGTGAGCCGTTGAAAGGTTAAAAGGACTTTGAGAATTCTTCCTACTTATCCCTGAACTGTGACGTTCATTGGAAAAGCAAAATATAGCGCTGTCTCCCAGGGAGAACTGGCTCTGTTCCCTGGGAAATCAGTACCTTTTGATCTTTAGCTGTTGCCTTGGGACCTGCCACTTCCCCCAGAGAAAACAGTTAGTCAAAAATCTCACTAGGCCTTTGGCACATAGCCATGTTAGTCTAAAACATACTTATTCATAGCCCCCAAAGTGAGACTTTGAAATCCCACCTGAAAAAATCCCACTTGAAACTGTTCCCATCTGTTCAGTGTAGGTGATTTCCCATCTGGTGATGTGTGCTCTTGATTCTTGCTTCTTTTTTTTTGCTCTCAATAAAGTGCTCAACTATTCACCTTTGATCTGGGGTCTTTATTGTCTATGAATCTGAACCACCATGATCTCATATGTACCCCTTAATGGCACAGCCTGAGAATGAACTGACACCTCATCTCTGTCTGCTTAGGGGACCATAGCTGTTCCCATGGTTATTATTCTCTTTAACATGATGGACGCCTCATTTTTCTCATGTAGATTGAATACTGAAACATGTACTTGGATCTCTACAATACTGGGGAAAATCACCTTGACTTATGATTAATGTTAGGTTACCATGAAAATTCAATGACATCAAAATAATGCTCTAATGTCCGAGGTCAATCCCAAGGGCTGCTCAGCACTGCTCCCTCTGTTAAAAATTGAAAATCAATGCCACAGGGGCTTTAGAGATTGAGCTCTAATCCAGGACATTCTACTGACAGCAGTGAAGGCGGAAAATACAGAAAACGATCTATTTTCAGAGTGTACATACAAGCCACCACTGACTTCAAATAGATTGTTAAGAAAATGTCATGGAAGCACTGCAAATATCATGAAGGATGCTCAGCACTCACCCTCTTCTCTGAAAAATCCTATGAGCTATATAATTCTGCTAACTGGGTGCAGAGGCACAGACCCAACCTGATTTGGCCAATTGGCCCGTGTCAAGAAATCAGGAATAAGAATCTCAGTTGTGACCAGAGTGCACTGGGTATTGGATGAAGGTTTGTGTTCAGAAGGATCATGTTTCTACCCAACTATCCCTGGTGCAGACACTGAGACACTGGAAAGGAGGATGAAGCTGCTGGAAATGGTCATGGCTGCATGGAATGCATGGTGAGCACCACCCTTGCCTCCTCCAGACAGTCCTGGACACAGTAAAGGATCAAGTGGGCACTGAGTTTCCTGTATGAAGAGGTGAACACTCCACCAGGGAGATAACAATACTATAGGTCTCCAGCATCACTTCTCAATGTCCCAGGTATCACCTCCCACTGTCCTCAAAAGGCAGTAAACAAAATGCAGCCAAGGGTCAACATTTTCCCTGGAGACATCACTGGAAATCAGGTAGGATTCCCATGAATGCTGTGAGGCAGATGTTAACCCCACTAAGACATCAGAAACATGCAGAAAAATCATAATTGCAACAATAAAAACAGCAGCAACAGCTGAGTTTCCCATAGCAGCAGCGCTTGCTGTCTCCCTGCCCTGCACCGAGGCCTTAAATACACCACAATAAACAGCATCTGTAGTTCACCGCCAGATTCGTGAGTTTGAATCCAACATTTTGGATCTGAGAGTTGTCTGCTCTGACCTTGGAAAAACCCCTTTCTTCCTGACCCTTCAATTCCCCAGAAATACAGCAAGTTATTAATCCAGTGGATGCAGTTGAATTAAGAAGGAAATAATCAAACAGCCAATCCTGTTATACAATTACCTAAAAGTGTTTACTGAATTTCATTACGTCTATTGATTCTCAAAAGGCCCGTGGTTTGTGTCTCCATTCATTTCATGTAGTGAAGTGAGACTGGGGGAGTTTTAGGATCACCCAGAGATGCCACACTGGGGAATCCATATGGGAAGCCCTGAAGCCACACTGTCCTAGAAGAAGGAGTCTGTGTGGACTGCAGCTGATATGGGGGATCAGAGAAACTCCACTTATTTTTCACAAGCACCCGGGGCAAGTCTGAGGTGTCTGGCCTGTGCATGGCACCCACGGGAGATAACTGGTGGTATAGCTACTGCCTTTGAAATGAGCACCAAGGCCGGGATAAAAGTGGCTGTTCACCCATATTTTACACAGGAGGAAACTGAGGCCCATTAAGTGCACTATGTTCCTTTAATCATAAAAATGTTCCATAATCTTAAGATTAATCCCAAATTGCATGGCCGAAGGTATAAGAAGTCTCAATACTGACTTCCCACTCTTGGGCCTCCAGGAGGACTTTGAGGATCAACAAATATCCATTCATCCTCTTACCACCCAGTGCACCTTCAAATGCTGCTGCAGGCGGCCAACCCCAGACATTAGACCATAAAAATGGGTGAACTCTCACAAGTAAGGCTTTTTATTATATTACTAAATGTACGAACTTACAAAGTTGATGAAGTAGGTTAATAATGCAGGTTATTCTTTAAAGTATATAATATGTCCCTATTACACTGGGTATGATAAAAGAAAATCCCAACCATTAGGTCATATTTGCCACTATTAAAAACAATTATTCCATAAACCAAAAATCACTGCTCATTCAAGGAGTCAGAGTGGATGACATTTGAACACGTATCTTTGCTGTTTCACTGCCCTATTTGTTAAAGGAGAAGAGCCCAAAATCCTGAAAGAACAGGTAAGTGGGTGAGCACACATTTAACTACGTTTAACTAAAAACACAACAGTAGTACATACACTCCTGAAAAATACTCATCATGAATCATTACAGAAATGCAGGTAAAACAAGACTGCATACAAACTCGGGAAGAGCTGAAATTAACAAGAATTGAACAAATCAATATTTTGCTATGGTGGGGAAATGCAACCCTCATACACTATCGGTAAAAAGGCATAAAGGACCCTAGCCCTTGAATTCCTTGATTGAAAAGTAATTTTTGCTTCATGGAATAATTATTTTCAATAGAGGAAAATATGACCTACTCATTGGTATTTCTTTCATTGTATACAGTGTATAAGGTACATATTATATACTCTGAAGAATAACCAGCATTATTAGCACCCTTCATTAACTTTGTAAGTCATACATTTACTAATATAATAAGTGTGGCTTAGTTGGTAGGAGCATTATCCCAAAGCTGAAAGTCTTCAGGATTGTGTCCTGGTCAGGGCACATAACAAGGTCAGAAATGTGATACCCAAACCAGCCACTTGAGATCCCTGGTCTGGGCAGGCAACCAGTCAATCAATGTGTCTCAGCCTCCCCTCCTGTCTCCCTAAAAGCAGTGAAATAAAATGTCCTTGGGTGAGGATGAAAAAAAGATTCCAAAACAGTCCATAAAGACACAGTTAGTTTAATAACACCTTGTCACATTCTACATAACATAAACATTAAACTTATGAACAGTTCTGCATTGAGAATATTGGTAAAAAAATAAAGTCACCTTTTCCCCAGTAAGGTTCCTTCAGTGTCATTACACTGAAAAAAAAAGAACATTTCCTAAATTCAATCCATTTACAATGAGAACTCTCCAAGGTAAAAAGGCATACATTTATCAATAAAGGTTTCCTATATCCACTTCACACTCAAAGCCTTTAACCAGTGTGAAGTGTGTTTAAGGTAGTGATGACTATGAGGTAAGGATTTCCCACCTTTTATGTCCACATAAGGCCTATCTCCAGTGTGAACTCCCTGATAACAGGCATAGGAATAGAAAAAGCATTTCCCATGTCTACTGTACTCAAAAGGCCTTTTACCAGAGTGAAATCTCTGAATAGAATGGAGCTTAGTATTACAATCATAAAAATTCCTCATACTGCCTGCATACATAAATCCTTTTTCTTGTGTCACCTCTCAGAAGATAGTGCAAGAAATAGCTAGAAAATAAGACTCCCCAAATTTCCTTAACTAATAAGAACTTAGTCATTGTGAACTGAGGACAATGACAGCCATGGCTTCCGGTAAGGATTTTACACATTCATTGCAGGCATAAGGCCATCCCCTGGGTGGACTCTCAGATGATAACAAAGGTTACTGATAATAAAAATGCTCATATTCCCTGCAGGCATAAAGCCAATCAACTAAGTCAACTCTCTGATGACAATGAAGTTGAATGTTCACTGCAGTGAACGAAGTCTAATGTTCACTGCAGTCGCAAGACCTTTCTCCAGTGTGAACTCTGTGATGATAATGGAGGGCAGAATTACTAATAAATGATTTCCCACATTCACCACACTCATAAGGCCTTTCTCCAGTGTGAACTCTTTGGTGTTTATGGAGGCCAGACCCACTGATAAAAGATTTCCCACATTCACCACACTCATAAGGCCTTTCTCCAGTGTGACTTCTCTGATGATAAGAGAGGGCAGAGCTACTGAAATAAGATTTCCCACATTTACTACACTCATAAGGCCTTTCTCCAGTGTGAACTCTATGATGTTTATGGAGGGCAGAACTATTGATGAAAGACTTCCCACATTCTGTGCACTCATAAGGCCTTTCCCCTTTGTGAACTCTCTGATGATAAAGTAAGTCAGTGCCAGTAGTAAAAGATTTCCCACATTCACTACATTGAAAAGGCCTTTCTCCAGTGTGAACTCTGTGATGTTTACAGAGGTCAGAGCTCCAGGTAAAAGATTTCCCACATTCACCACACTGAAAAGGCCTTTCTCCAGTGTGAACTCTCTGATGATAAAGTAGGTCAGAGCTAGTAGTAAAAGATTTCCCACATTCACCACATTGAAAAGGCCTTTCTCCAGTGTGAACTCTCTGGTGTTTATGGAGGCCAGAGCCAGTGGTGTAAGATTTCCCACATTCACCACACTGAAAAGGCCTTTCTCCAGTGTGAACTCTCTGATGTTTACGGAGATCAGAGTTCCATGTAAATGATTTCCCACATACATGGCACTCATAAGGCCTTTCTCCAGTGTGAACTCTCTGATGTTTACGGAGATCAGAGTTCCATGTAAATGATTTCCCACATACATGGCACTCATAAGGCCTTTCTCCAGTGTGAACTCTCTGATGATAAAGTAGGTCAGAGCTAGTGGTAAAAGCTTTGCCACATTCACCACACTGAAAAGACTTTTCTCCAGTGTGAACTCTCTGATGATAAAGTAGGTCAGAGCTAGTGGTAAAAGATTTCCCACATTCACCACACTGAAAAGGCTTTTCTCCAGAGTGAAGTCTGTGATGTTTATAGAGGTCAGAATTACTAGGAAAAGATTTCCCACATTCATCACAGTCATAAGGTCTTTCTCTAGTATGAACTTTCTGATGAGTATACAGGGCAGAGCTACTGATAAAGAGTTTCCCACATTCACTGCATTCATATGGTCTTTCTCCAGTGTGAACTCTGTGATGTTTACGGAGGTCAGAACTATCGATGAAAGATTTCCCACATTCACTGCACACATAAGGCCTTTCTCCAGTGTGAACTCTCTGATGTTTATGGAGGTCAGAGTTCCAGGTAAAAGATTTCCCACATTCACTGCACTCATAAGGCCTTTCTCCAGTGTGAACTCTCTGGTGATAAAGTAGGTAACAGCTAGTGGTAAAACATTTCCCACATGTACTACACTCATAAGGCCTTTCTCCAGTGTGAACTCTCTGGTGTTTGTGTAAGTTAGAATTACTAGTAAACGATTTCCCACATTCACCACATGGAAAAGGCTTTTCTCCTGTGTGAACTCTGTGATGTTTATGGAGGTTAGAATTACTAGTAAACGATTTCCCACATTCACCACACTGATAAGGCTTCTCTCCACTGTGAACTAACTGATGGTTATGAAGGTAAGAATTACTACTAAAAGATTTTCCACATTCAACACACTTATATGGCCTTTCTCCAGTGTGAACTCTGTGATGTTTATGGAGGTCAGAATCACTAGTAAATGATTTCCCACATTCAGCGCACTCATAAGGCCTTTCTCCAGTGTGAACTCTGTGATGTTTCCAAAGGGCACAGCCACTAGTAAAAGATTTCTTACATTCACTGCACTCATATGGCTTTTCCCCAGTGTGAACTTTCTGATGATAACAAAGACCTGAGATTCCTAGAAAACATTTTTCACATTCACTGCACGCATAACATCGTCTTCCAGTTTGGACAGCCTGGTCTGGAAGTGGTGAGTGTTTGCAGACAATGGCTTTCTTACATTCTTTTCTTGTGTGATAAATATTTCTCCTTTGAAAATCCTCCCCAAATGTTGACATTTCATTTGCTCTTTCCTTGGTGTTAGGAGCTTGTTGTTGGATATTTCCTGAGTTTGTAAAATCGTTCTGCTCAAGCTCCTGGAAGGTAGAGATCTTTTCAGACACATTGAAATTGCGGCCCTTCACAAGTGAGGCCCTGTCCACACCTCGTACTAAAGACTTCTGTCTCAAGTGCTCCTCCTGGTGCTGGTGATGCTTTGCAATGAAACAAAATTCTTTTTCACATGCCCCACACCTCAGCAGTTTCTCTCTCTGTTCAGTTCCCTGCTGGTCAGCCAAGAGAAAAATTTTCCTCAAGACACACCCACAACTGTCACAGGGGTGGCTCTTCTTAGAAGACAAAGCTGCCATGGGATCCTTTGCCTGCAATACTCTTACAGAAACGCTCTGGTCAGTGGGAGCCTCCACATCCGCTGCTCCACAGCAGCAACCTGAACAAAAACAAACACTGGTGAACTTGAAGTTAACTTAATAGAAAGAGGATATTCCCAACACAAAAACCCATTTTGCAAAGGTAGGCATGATTCTATGGACTGATTTTTCCAGATAAAGAGTTAGACTCTCTGGAAATGGCTATTATTACTGGTTGGCGCCAAAGGTCAATAAATGTTGGTAACATCTCCAGAAAAGACACAAGCACAGAATGAAAACAAAGAAGAGAGGCAGGGCCTACTAGTTTTCCCTCCACAAATGGCTTCCTAAAGGACTTTTCCTTCTAGTGATGAGAGGCTGTGTAGAAGAAGTTGAAATGTGCCCAAACCCGTAAAAATCAGTTGTATTACAGCACGTGATTTTAAGGTCAATGTAAAAATACATGAGCCCTAACTGTTGTGCCTTACTTGGATGAAGCATTGTCCGTGAACTAAAAGTTTGCAGGTCTGATTCCTTGTAAGGGCACATTCCTAGGTTGTGGGTTCTATCCCTGTCCCCAGTCAGGGTGCATGTGAGAAACAACCAATTGAGGTTTCTCTCACACCTCTCTCTATATATATTTCTTTCACTTTCTAAAATCAATTAACATAATGACTGGTGACGATAAAAAATATAATGCTCAAAAACAGAAGAATATGTGCACACTGAGGATCTGCGGGCATGAATCAAGTTTGGAGGGTAGTTACGAGAGATGTGTGAATGAAATGGTTGAGGTGAAGGGTTTAGAAAAAGAGAGATTATTCAGAGGCTGTGTACCCTTGGAGAAATGATAAATATTAGAACTGAGTAGTTGGAAAAGCATCAACGATAAGGACAAAAAGGTTAAGCCGTGGGACCAACAATGGTACCAACATACTGTTAAATAAATGGGTTTGTAGTTGTAACTTTACTAAAGCCCAAACATCAAGCCCTCACCAATTGCCATTCCAACCCAGAACTTCTTCTGAGCCCTTGCAGCCATGCCCAGAGTCATACCCCTACTGTGACTCTCAAAACACTCCCTTAACTCTCAGTTGAGCCATTCATGGGACTCAGAAGAAGAAACCAAAGAGATAAACTGAAGAGACAGACTGTAAGTAATTATAATAGAACAAGACAGCACAAAACAGACCCAGCAAAAACATCTTTGTGAGTGACATCAGAAAAATAGCAGAATAGGAGACAGGAAGCTATCTCCACATTCCATAAGCAAGTACATAGCTATCCATGAACAAAAACAGTCCTGGAGGATCAGAATAAGAGGTTCATTAAGGCAAACAGCAAAGCAGAAAAGCAAAAAATGGGGAACTACTCAGAAATATTGAATAAAAAGATTGGCTGAGCAAAGCTATGTGCAGATGGTGAAGCACAGAACACAAGGTCAAAATTACCTCTGTCAGCCACCATGCTTGTGGTAGCATTGACCCTAGTGACCCATTTGGAGAACAACCCCAAGAAATTTTATTTAGAACCACAGGAGTCCCTGGAACATTAAAAAAAAAAAAGACATGAGAAAAGGGGAAACATAGGTAGAAAGTTTATAAAAATATATTGTGAAGATTGACTTCTTAAATCTGAAAAGACACGAGACTAATCAAGTTTGTGGTTTCTCACTGGTCCCTGTAGAATCAATGGAAGTAGGCCTCAGCAACACACATCACATTAAAAATGCCCCAAATGTGGAGTTCTAGTCAAGATGGAGGCCTAGGTAGAAACCCTTTACTTCCTCATACAACTAAAAGGGGGATAACAACCAATCAAAAATCAACAAACAACCAGAAAATCAAATGCATGAAGCTCCGAAAACCAAGGAATTAAAGAAACAGTCAGCCAGAACCACCAGACCAGTGGGCCAAGACAAACAAATGTGGTCCAAATGAGAACACAGCAAAGCTTCACAAATAGGCTAAGTGATGAGGACTTCCTCCAAGATGAAGGCGTAGGTGGAAACACTTTGCTTCCTCGTACAACCAAATCTAAAAACAACAAAGTTTTAACAACAATAAATGCAACCAAATCATAGAAAATCGAACAATACAAAGTCTGAAAACAACAAACCACTCAGCTAAACCAGTGAGAGGGGTGAAGCCAGCAGCGGAGCCGTTGGGCAAAAAATGATCCCCCAGACCCCGGGGGCACACAAGCAGTCAAGAGCGCGGATCCCAGGTGTGCAGTAGCTACGGACGAACCCAGGGAAGGCGTGGCGCAGCTGGCTGCCTGCGGTCGCACATTTGCTCGCAGCTAAACCAGTGAAGAGACGTGCACTGAGACAGACCACACAGGCCCCGGTGCAGGGCGGTGGGCTCGCACATTTGCGCTCAGATAAACAGGCGGGGCAAGCTGAGAGGACCGCCATTGCTCCCTCTCTGAACCCGCCCCCACATAGTGTCACAAACCAGTGACCTGGGTAGCCCCGCCCTGGTGAACATCTAAGGCGCCTCTCCTCCTACGTAACAGGCACAAACAGATCAAAACATGGCTCAAGAAGAACTCAGAGCCCCAGAGCCAATAAATCTAAGGGATGAAGAAATAGCCAGACTATCAGATGCACAGTTCAAAACACTGGTGATCAGGATGCTCACAGAACTGGTTGATTTTAGTCACAAGTTAGAGGAACATATGAAGGCTAAACTAATTGAAATGAAGGGAAATGCACAGGAAACCAATAGTGATGGAAAGGAAACTGGGACTCAAATCAAAGGAGTGGACCAGAAAGAGGAAAAAAATGACCAAACAGAAAAGGATGAAGAAACAAGAATTCAAAACAAGGAGGCGAGGCTTAGGAACCTCCAGGACATCTTTAAACGTTCCAATATTCGAATTATAGGGGTACCAGAAGGGGAAGAGGAACAATCATGAGTGGAAAGCTTATTTGAACAAATAATAAAAGAGAACTTCCCCATTCTGGCAAAGGAAATAGACTTCCAGGGAATCCAGGAAGCTCAGAGAGTCCCAAAGAAGTTGGACCCAAGAAGGAACACACCAAGGCACATCATCATTACATTAGCCAAGATTAAAATGAAGGAGAGAATCCTAGAAGCAGCAAGAGATAAGGGGACAGTCACCTACAAAGGAGTTCCCATCAGACTGTCAGTGGATTTCTCAAGAGACCTTACAGGCAAGAAGGGGCTGGAAAGAAGTATTCCAAGTCATGAAATCCAAAGACCTACAACCAAGATTGCTCTACCCAGCAAAATTTTCATTTAGAATGGAAGGACAGATAAAGTGCTTCTCAGATAAGACCAAATTCAAGGAGTTCATTATCACCAAGCCCTTACTATATGAAATGTTAAAGGGACTTACCTAAGAAAAAGAAGATAAAAAGATGAACAGCGAAAGGACAGCAAACTCAGTTATCACCAACCACACCTATAACAAAAGCAATCTAAGAGGACAGCTAGATCAGGAGTGAACCATAGAAATGAAGATCACATGGAGGGTTAGCAACAGGGGAGTGGGAGAAGGAGAAGGGGGGAGAAGGTACAGAAAATAACTAGCATAGACAGTAGATAGAAAATAGATAGGGGGAGGGTAGGAATAGTAGGGGAAATATAGAATCTAAAGAACTTGAGACACGTGTTCATGAACTAAAGGGGGGATAGTGGGGGAGGGGTGTGCAGGGTGGAGGGGAATGAAGGGGGAGAAATAGAACAAATGTAATGGCATAATCAATAAAAATAATTATATATATATATATATATATATATATATATATATATATATAAGAAATAGGCTAAGTGATGAGGTAGGCAATGTATGTGATGGAGAATTTAAAGACCTAGCAATCAAAATGCTCACAGAACTGATTTGCCGTGGTAAAAAAATACAAAAACAAATTAAAGATACCAAAATGAAATAAAGCAAAAATATTCAGGGAATCAACAATGACAGGAAGGAAACCAGGACTCAAAGCAACGATTTGAAACAAAAAGGAAGAAATAAACATCCAACTGGAACAGAATGAAGAAATGAGAATTCAAAAAATGTGGACAGGCTTAGAAACCTCTGGGACAACCTAAAATGTCCCCATGTCCAAATTATAAGGGTGCCAGAAGGTGAAGAACAACAGCAAGAAATTGAAAACGTATTTAATCAAATAATGAAGGAAAACTTCCCCAATCTGGTGAAGGAAATAGACTTCCAGGCAGTCCAGGAAGCCCAGAGAGTCCCAAAAAGTTAGACCCAAAGACGAACTCACCAAGGCCCACCATCAAGTTACCCAAAATTAAAGCTACAGACAGAATCTTCAAAGCAGGAAGAGGAAAGGAGAGAGTTACCTACAAAGGAGTGCCCATAAGACTATCAGCTGATTTCTCAAAAGAAACCTGGCTGGCAAGAAGGGGCTGGAAAGAAGTATTTGAAGTCCTGAAAGGCAAGGACCTACATCCAAGATTACTCTGTCCAGCAAAGCTATCATTTAGAATGGAAGGGCAGACAAAGTGCTTCTCAGATAAGGTCAGGTTAAAGGAGTTCATCATCACCAAGCCCTTATTATATAAAATGTTAAAGGGACTAATTTAAGAAAAAGGAAATAAAAAACATGAAGAGTAAAATGACAACAAAGTTACAACTATCAATAAATGTACCTAAAGGAAAAGAAAAAAAACAAAAACAAAAACTAAGCAAACAACTAGAACAAGAACAGTTATCAGAGAAATGGATATCACAAGGATAGATTCCAGTGGGGTGGGGGAAGGGAGGAACAGTGGGGATAAGGTACAGGGAAGAAGAAGCATAATTAGTAGGCATAAAATGACAGGGAGAAATAAAAAATGATATAGGAAACAGAGAACTCAAAGAACTTATATATACAATCCATGGACATGAACTAAGGGGGCAGGGAATGCTGGAGAGTTGGAGGATGCAGGGACAAGGGGAGATAAAGGGGAAGAAACAGGGAAAACTGTAATAGCATAATCAATAAAATATTCTAAAAAATTTTAAATGTCAAAAATGGAAAGCAAAGAAAATCTTAAAAACACAAAAAGAACAGAAACATTTCTCATAGAAAGAACACGCC